TAGGACAGTTATATGCCTTAAATGTCACCTGTATGCAAAATTTAAACAAAATTACCGTGTGGTTTATGAGTTATGGAGATTTTTCTGAACTAAATCTTTGCCATTAGAAGGACTTTTTTTTCAGAAATGAGGGGAAACTCTAAATAATCTATAATATTATCAATATGGAAAATTTTTCCTATTGCTCATTGTTAAAAAAAACAAATAATGACAATAAGGTAACAAATTAAACAAGCAAAAATGATTGTTTTTACATGAAATGTTTTTAATATGTATAAAAATGTAATCCTACCCCACCACTTTTTAACACTTATTTGACCATTTCCCTATGTAAAAATCCTTTTTTAAAATATCCCTTAAATTTTCCACAATGAGGGGCTGTTTTCAAAGTTTGCCTTAATTTTCTTAAATGTACATTGGTTGGTCTTGCAAAATATAAAAAACTTTTACCGTGTAGTTTTTTTTATTTTATTAAACTTTGAAAATACTGGTATCATATTTGCTATTATATTTGGCATTATTAAGTAAATAAATACCTACAATAATAATATAATTAAAATGAAACTCTTTGATCTTACATTAAGGATCTGAGAGATTAATAAAAATGTTAAAAAGAAAAATAGGAAGAAAAAAAGTGCATTAGGGGATATGCAAGACGTCAAATATCGACCGGAGAGTATAAGACATAATATGTCAACATGCCTGAAAGGATGTCGACAAGACGCCTTACTTTTTAGCCGTCTCATAATACTAATGTGCAGTTGAGATAAGAGATATATCAACATGCCAGAAAACTTGTTGACATGCCTTTTCAGTATAATGAAAGGGGACCCAAAGTGGTTTGTCGACATGCACTGAAACAATATGTGGTCAAGAAGCGTAGATTTTGTACAACAAAACCATGATAAAAGACGGTCATGTCGCGTTTATATATTCGACATGCCGACACACGAGTTAAATACGAAACATGGCATCCAGGGGGTCAATTCAAGCTTCCATAGTTGTCATCTGTCTCAATTGTCCGTTAAATATAACAAGAATTTTCGTTGCCGATAAAATATCGCAACAAAGGGGCCGTTTAATATCGCCAAATGTTATATTCATGATAAAATTAAAAAGTTACGCTATTACAATAAACATTGAGTAAATGTTTGTATATATTTAGTATTTTTGGGATGTAAAGGAAATGTCTGATCCATCTGCCGACGCAAGAGAAAAAAAATTTTTTTTTTAAAGTATGTTGGTGTACAATAGGCAATTTTCAAGAAATATTTTAATTGATAAAAAAAACAAACAGACAAAACAATAGAAATGTAAATAAATATGAGTATTCTTAAAAAATATTTCTTGAGCAAAAATGATAATCTAGTTCAACATTTTTGATATGACATGTATATAATGGCATTGCCAGTATTTTTTTTATTCTAGAACATTTCATAATCAACATCCACAACCTTATTTCTTGGTTTTTGTACCTTATACTATCAAAACATAAATATTTTTGATATTGTTATACCTTTCGGTTAAAATCATTTACTTTAATATCCCTTTCATTTGCGATTAAAAAATTTAAAAAAAACAATTGATTTGCAACTACTACTTGTTTAGGTGCTCATCTTTTTAAGCATATTGTTTTGCGTACTTTGCAAATTGATAACTGGACTTGTGTCCATTTACTTGCCGCCACTGCTGAGGGTTTCGAATCCCGCCAGGGAACTGGTATTTCTTTCATGTGAGGAAGCTATCAAGCTAGCTTACGGGAACGTTAGTGGTTTTCTAACGTAAGTTTTCCCGATCGTGCACAGGGATGCACCAGAAGGTCTTCCTCCCCAAAGTAAAGTTGGGGAAAGTCGCTATATGACCTTACTGTGTTGTTGTGGACGTTTAAATGTCAAAAAATTAATTAAAGACCTTTTTAAATATCCTTATTAGAAGTTTTAAAAAACTTATTAGGAGAAATAAAATTGTTATTTGTTCTTATATAAAAAAAACCTATGTTATAAAAAGACATTCAAATTAAGGTCTTTATTTTTTTTAAGATTTTCAAAAGCTCCAACTAATCAAAGAATTTTGTTTCTCAACCCCACTAAATACTTATAAATGAAACTTCTTATTAAGAGTTGGGCAAAGTTGGCTATTTACGTTTTTATTTCTTCCTTAATTATGAGTAAAAAATTCCTAATAAATTGTAACTGGGAGTAACAGTTGCAATAAGGATTTTTATCTTCTCCTATTTAGGAGTATATAAAGTTCTAATTAAGCTATTCTAACTCCCCTAATTAAAAAGTGAAAAATCCCTAGGAGTTCTAACAATTTTAAAGGATAGGAACAATTGGATAAAAAAACCAACACAAATTAAGTAATCAATTTTAAAGAACATTAAATATTTTAAAGAACATTTTTAATATTTTGGCACCAGACGGTTCCATAAACCAAATATTTTTGAAAACGTAACTTTTATTAGAGATTTTCGATCATGCGAAACACATAAATGCATCGAGGCAAAACTCCTCGCAGTGATTACCTCCCTTGGCAGAATTAAGGGGAGATCACTGTGTGGAGATTGGCATCGAGGAAAATTTTTTTATTGTAAAAGGAAAAAATGACCGTGGCCAAAACCAAAACTTCCCTTTAAAGGGGGTTTTTCCCCTTTTTCCTTTTGAGAAAGGGCAAAGAAACGGCCGCCCCTTTTTTTAAAGGACAACTTTAAAAAAATGCCATTTTCTTTTTTGGGAATTTAAAAAAGGGGGTTTATTTTTCACAGATATGTCTTGAATTGGGGTTTTAATTTTTAAAAACCTTAAAAAGCGGGTATCATCCCTTTTTGCCTTTTTTTTAAAATTTTCCCCGAAAGAAAAAAAAGAATTTAAAAATTTTCTGCCCTATGTTGGCCCGGTTTTGGACCGGAAATTTTCCGTCCCCAGGGGGCCCCCCCAATTTGGGGGGGAACCGCAAAAATTTAAAAAATTTTTTTTTCTTGGGGAATTCTCCCCTATTTTTATATTTAAAAAGGTGTTAACCCCAATATGTTTTAAAGTTTATTTTAGGAAAAATTAAAAATTATTTCATCCTAACTATTTTCTTAAATTTTGCGTAAAAAGAACCTTTACAACTTAAAAAACAAGGCGAAAAAGAACGTTTATCCTAAAACCCCATATTTTCCCTTTTAAATGACTCAAAATTTTTAAAGCCGGGTTCATTCATAAAATGCGTAAAAATGACGTTGTTGTTTGGCACCCCGATCATCTTTTACCCCCTGCCAGTAGAAATTTTCCCGGGGATGGGGAAAAAAATCCGGAAAAGCCAGTCGCTATGCAAAAAAGGGCTATCTAATTTTTTGGGGTTTTCAAGTTTTTTTCTAACTTTTTTTCTTGCAATAGATAGAATTTTTCTTACTTTTGCAAAATATGAACGTTTAAAAATTTTTTGAAAACGCTTGGATAGGGGCCATTCACCCTGTTTGGGAAATATTAACCCCGGGAGGTTTTTTGCCAAAGGGAAGCATTTATTTTTTTATTTGGTTTTTATCCTACTTGTTGTAGAAAAGGTAAAAGTAAAAATTTAAAGGGTTTTGCAAAAATTTCCCAAAGTCGGTCCTTCAGCCTGGGTTTTCCCTGTTAAACTAAAAATTGGGTGAAAGGTGCGGTGGTTTTTAAAATTTTTTCAAAAATGAAAACTTTGCCCCGAAATCAAAAAGGTAAATAAAATTAAAAAACCCTTTTATCCACATTAATACATACCTTTGCAAATTTACTTGTCGTGTCAGTTTTTACATTTCCGTTTGTTTCTGCTCTTCTGAGCAATCATGGAAACCTAGTGCGCAGACCACATTCATTTGTCTCTTCCACCTGTTTTAGTCGGAAATTCACTTTATTGATTAAACAACGGCAATCACTTTTTCGCACGCAGGAGGAATTTCCACAGAGGTGAGGCGGACTCTTTTAATAATTAACTCCGTCATCTTTAATCAAAACCAAATAATTTCCCAAACTGGTTGAAGCTTTAAATGCATCCTTTCTATAAATTTTCCGGGGCAAATTGCCATAAATTTCTACGGACGCACACCTGGTTGTGCCTGATTTTAAAGAATACTGATTTCAGTCCACAAATTCAACGCGTTATTTAAATTTTCTGTATTAGATCAACCTGTGCGGTATGGTAAAACACGTGGAATCATGGTGCATCGTTAACGATTGACACACATTAATAGGAAACATGGTTACACTAGCAATTGTGTAAAAAGTAATGGTGCATTTAACAAAGTTACACATATTCTAGCGTAACATAAAGATCATCGTCGTTATTTCTTTGTTTCCTTATAAAGAGAACATCGAGCAATTAAAGGAACTTTTTTTAGCAGGATATGTAACTTTAATTTTAAAATGCAATTAGAATATAGAACATATAAAGAAAGCAAAAATCTAGATCAACAATGGTATATTTAAATAAAAAAAACACGTGTTACATCGGAATTTTAATAACTGAAGAAAAAACTGTATATTATGAGAACATGAGTTAGTTATTTTAACATATCATTTGTATTGTGGTCAATCATTTATCGCCAAGTAAAACTCTTCATTACTTTTCCATTGCTTCATGACATTCGTCAGTATTAATATTTGGAAACAAAGGAACAGAAGCGTAGGAGCGATCTATTGACGCTTTACATTGTGGAATTAAGGCTCATACACTTCTTCCTTCAATAAAAATGGCGAGTTCTCTTCTGGCGAGGATTTTTCCAAGCAGATATGCACCTTTCTTTTGTCCGTTCCGCCAAAAATAATTGCATATAAAATAGAGTTTTTATCTTGCATCATCATTTTAAAACACACACATGTATCACGATGAAGGGCGTCCCGTGTACTAAGTGTCATTAGCTAGTCGCCGTGGAGTGGGCTTTTGTCCCGCTAGGGACTCAGGATTCTTTCACGTGAGGCAGCTATCCAGCTAGCTTACGGAACGTTATCGGTTATACTCGGGTGCCCGTTTGTGTCTGAAAATTAATAATGCACGGAGGGGCATTTTAGGTTTTCCTCCACTAGTAAAGGTGGACAGTCGTCATATGACCCAACCAAAGAATAGTGTCCTAATTCCTCAACTAGTAAAGCTGGAAAGTCGCCATTTGACACAACCAAAGAATAGTGTCCTAATTCCTCAACTTGTAAAGCTGGAAAGTCGCCATTTGACACAACCAAAGAATAGTGTCCTAATTCCTCAACTAGTAAAGCTGGAAAGTCGCCATTTGACACAACGAAAGAAAACTATCATAATGCAACAAAATTTGTGAATTTTCATTCACTGCCTATTTATATAAATTATATATTATATAGCAAAAAAGGTTTTGACATCGATACTATTTTTTCTGATGGTCTCTTAAGAAGAATTGATTTTTGTACAGACGCCAGAAAATAAATTCGCACTAATACAATGTCAGAATCTTTCGAAATTACACGTTGCTATTTCAAAAACATTCTTGTTATTTTTCTTACCTGGAATGGTATTATCCATGAAGCATGCGATAAACCCGCCTAGGAAATTTGGATTTCCTAGAAACATTGCGATACTTGTCTAAACCGTTTGTTTCCCTGGGAATAAGTAAATTGTATTTTTTGTTTAACTGCATCTTCAAAATAAACGAAAGCAAGATGATGTACATTTATTTCGCACGATCTTTGTCAATAACTTTAAAAATTAAGGTATTTATGCAATGTTTTAATACAGATTAGAATGCATAGGGCACGACTTTTAAATACTATTCATTTAGCGTTTATTTAGCGTTGGCACTATTTCTAAGAGTTTTATCCCATTGTTCTCAATAACAGATCTTATGTTATTTATGTTTTGTTAAGTTGCTCAAGAATGCATGTTGGGTGGGGGAGAGGGAGAGTGGACCCTTTAGGGTTATTTTACTGTATCAATTGCAGGACTGAGATTTTTCTCGGCATCCAGGTCGAGAACCAGTAGAACCACAAACACGGCTGTACCAATAATAGACAAATTCCTGGTAGATGAAAGATCTATAACTTGTAGGTTGGATAGGTTCACGCCAACAAACACACCTGAAACAAAGGCATAATTATATGAACCAATGGTTTATTGTACATCTTTAAAGGGACCCCACCGAGTTTTTCTAACATGATGATGGAACTGGAAATATTTTCTTCCCGAGATTTGTACATCATTTGATGTAGGTCTGAGCCAATAACTTGTGTGCAGATTTTCACTACAATGTACTCCCCCCACATCCCATTTTTTCCAGAATAATTACTTTATCAAGTAAGAAGAAGCAAATATGAAAAGCGTTACAACGCTTTTCACTCACATCGGGCTAAGCATCGCATAAAACACAATATATTCTATTTAATACTGAGTACCTATTATATTACTTAATTATTCTTTGTAGAATTTACATTTTGACCTAAGCGGAGCTCCTTTAATGTAAAATACAAATGTGCGTACAAAAATTATGCATGCAATAGTTTTTCTTCTAAGACATGTTTTGTCATAACATACAACTTTTTTTATTCATAAGTGGATAAAGTCTAATAACAAAACGAATTGTTAATGATTATGCATGCTCCTTGCAACAATTCTTTCAATACTTTCAACGGTTAAAGTGCGTCCGATACTGATGCAAACTCTTTCGGTCCAACACTTTATATCTTATATTTGCAATTGATGTATGTTTGTATAAACAAATATATATGCAATGAAATATTATCATATTGAAACGAATTAAACGTTTGAACTAACGATGAAATAAACAGGCAGGAAAAGTAATTGCCTACAAAAAGAAGATGATTGCATTGTTTGTGGTATTTGTAGTTTTCACTCCGGATCACGAAAGAAAGCCACATTGAATTTACCAGAACACAGTTCAGCCACCGAATCGTTTCTGGGCAGGCTGTTAAGCAGTTTACCAGTACAAGTTGTTGAAACTTTTATAAATTCTGTACACGTCAGAGCAGAGGGACCTTGCGTAATACCGTAGAAAGGATTTCATGTTAAATCACAACGAAAGTGGCCTGCGCCGTCCAGTTGCTCTACATCTGCTCTTGCCCTTGAGCTTACCGGACGGCAATGGTTGCATTGTTCATATGGCTTAAATTCATATCAATTAAAGTAATGATAAATTCATACCAATTATAGTGATAATAACTCCTCCAAGAACGGGGTATGGTATACTGATAAACACCGCTGATACTTTGGCAAGGATTCCCAACACAACATAAATCACAGACATTGCAATAAACACATGGCGGCTGGCTACCTGGTCACAAGAGAGAGGAAATCATTCTTAAAATAAAAACATGTTTAACATATGGTGAAATCACTTGATTTTAAATAAATAACTGCTATATCAACAGTTTTTATTCGGAGAAATAAGAAATATAACTTTATAAAACTTATGTTTCCAGGAATCTGTTTGGTTTATACACAATTTGTTTGAGTTTGAATGTGTAGGAAGTTATGAGCTTACAGACACACTTTTAAATTCGTTCCAGGGACCAACCAGTACTGAGCTATGAGTACACAGTTTCTTTCACAAGGAAACAACGGCTTGCCCCTTACGGGACTTAGGCGATCTGTAGATTACAAGTCCAATGCGTTAATCATCTTTAGAAAAGGCATATTTTGTTATAACTTAGCTACATTATATTTGTTGTTAGATGTTATTGACGTACACTCAGAGGCACTTTCAACCCGACACTTACATTTTTCGATACAAATCGGTTATTTATTAACGGATTTTGTTCAACTTACCCTATAAAGTTCAACATATCATATACGTACAACTTGGAATTATATTTACAATTTATTGGCAATAAAATAGAGAAAATAACATAACAAATATGCATCTTCGAAATAAAAAATCACAGAATGGCTGTTAATGTCGTAACAAAATGAAAAGTCGCTGAATCCTACAAAATATGTATGTTAATCAGTTCCTATGCATTGTTTGTCATCCCATGGATATAACAAAGTGTAAACGTTATGACGAAATTATCATGAAAGCTTGGGAATATTTCTCCATTCCTGAATAACTGGGCTTGCTCGAGTTCCAGCAACTCCTGCCTCAAAAGTCACCAGATCTAAACATTACGCTTGTGGGCTGAACTGAACAGGTGCGTGAGAAAGCGACAAGAAGCCCCCCCCCCCCCGCAAGTTGCTGGAACTCAAGCAAGCCCTTGTTCAGAAATGGAGAACTACCTACGAGACAGAGGTGTTATCGTTGCTATAGCCAATTGGGAGGACATACAAAGTATTAGAACTGGCTAACAGACAGATTTAGTGGGATTCAGAGACTTTTCATTGTGTTGTTTTCTGTGATTTTTTCATTTTGCAGTAGCATATTTGTTTTGTTGTTTCCTTTATTTTCTTATGGATGAATTGTAAATATAATTCTAAGTAGTACGTAAGTACGATATGATGATTTTTTATGGTTCAAATTTGAAGAAAAATCCGTTCATAAATAACCAATTTATACAGAAAAATGTTAGTGTCGGGCTTTAAGTGCCTCTCAATGTACATGTATATATTATTTGTTAACAACAAAATAGAACACAGATCTATCGTCTGAACCTTTGTCATTCCAATAGCGCCAATGTTACCACCATATGTTGTAGTGGCATGACCTACACCAAACAGTCCAGAAATCATGCTACAAAAACCTTCCACTGCTATTCCCCTGTTAACAGCGTGGCTTGGTGGTGGTGGAACTCTACATATAGCTGCAGTGGCGTAATAATCGCCAATAGAATCAAGAATGGAAGTGAGTGTAGCAATGAGGAACCCCACTATAGCACTGACGCTGAACAGGGGACTACCAAATTGTCCTGAAAAATGCAAATGGTATTTATTGATACATTGGAATTCATTTAAATATATATCATTTTAAATGAATGATCAATTGTATTAAGCATATAAATACATGTATTACTGGACGAGTGGCTATGGTCGTCGACTTCAAACCACTTGCCACTCACCGCCATAGGTTCGTATCCCGATAGGGACTTTGGATTCTTAATCCAGCTATCTTACGGAACGTCGGTTATTCTAGTCAGGTGCCCGTGCGTGCCTGAAATAATGTACGGACGGGTACCTGAGGTATTCTTCGAATGTCGCAATGGCCTGTATAGTGTTGGTTCACATAAATTACAACCAAAAAAGTATATTCAATACAATTACATTTTAGACAGGACTATTTTTGAGAATATGCCCCTCTATAAGATGCTAGAGGCTTTTTGTAGTACAAGTGGTATCTTGGTGTATTGTACCTATTTAAGGTATGCTGAATCCGATAAAGGTGGATACCAAAGTGAAAAACTTGATCTTGACCATTGAAATGGCCATTTAAAATGACCATTAAAATGGCCGCCAAATTTCTTTATCATAAATGGATGATCGATAGATCAAATAAAACTTTTAAGGAAAGGAAAAGCCTGAAATTTGTCACAAAGCATGTTTAGGAAAAAACAAATTAGACACCATAACAGAATTAAAAAGAAACAACAAAAAACAAGCCAATATGGCCGAAAAATCCAAGATGGCATACATTTTCTATAGGATAATACAATAGTAATATAGAAGTAATATTTAAGATAGTATTGAAATTGTTAAGGCATTTAAACATATTTAGGGATTTACGCAGCGAACACTACACTCTTTCTTGCCCTATCTGCTAGATTTTATCTGGCACTCTATGCAACTCAGATGCCTATTTATATTTTGCACAGCGTAAATATGTGTGAGGGGGTTAAAACGTGTGCATGCAAAATATAATTAGCACCTTTTTCTGAGTTTTGGTGTTCGTTTTTCTGTAATCGGTCATCGTCTTCCGGTCGTCGTCTTCGTTCTTTTGTTATCGGTTCTCGTCGCATTTCTCTGCTGTCAGATCTTCTGTTATTTGTCGTCACTTTCGTTCTTCTGTTATTAGTCCTCGTTGAAGTTCTCTTGTTGTCAGTTCTTCTGTTATTGGTCGTGATCTCAGTTCTTCTGTAATCGGTCCTGGTCTCATTTCTTTTGTTGTTAGATGTTCTATAATCGGTCGGCGTCTTCGTTCTTCTGTTATCGGTTCTCGTCTTCGTTCTTCTCCGTACTTCTGTCATCCGTGCCCGTCTCTATTCTTCTGTAATCAGTCCTTGTCTCCCTTTTTATTTGTCTCAATTCTTCTGTCATCGGTTCCCGTCTCTGTTATCGATCCCCGTCTTCATTCTTCTGTCATTATTCTGTTATCAATCCTCGTCTCCGTTGTATTGTTATCGGTCCATGTTCTGTTCTGTTATCGGTTCTCTTTTATGTTCTTCTCCGTTCTTCTGTCATCGGTTCTCGTCTCTTTTCTTCTGTAATTAGTCTCCATTCTTCTGCCATGTGTTCTCGTCTATGTTATTGTTTTATCAGTCTGTGTCTCTGTTTTTCTGTTACCGGCGACGTCTCTAGTTCGCTTATTGTCAGTTCTTCTGTTATAGGTCCCTGTCTCTGTTAGCGGTCCTCGTCTCTGCTCTCTTGTTGTCTCACAGTTCTTATTTCTGTTAACGGTCGTCGTCTTCGGTCTTGTACTTTCGGTACTAGTTTCCTGCTCCGTATTTCTATCATTGCCGTTATGTGTCTATGTCCTGGTTTTGTCAGTCTTGTAGTCATTTATTCGTTTTGTGGAGTAGCGGGGGATCGAACTCACGACCCCTTGATTTGAAGGCAGACAGTGTTACCACTGCACCATTGCGCCCGCTCTGAATAATAGCCATTTTTGAAAATCCTTTATACATAAAATACTATTTCAATGGCATACAAAAGGTGTATTACAATTATATTTTAACACCTCTACTATGTAGCCAACCCACGTGACTTTTATATATGGTCTCCATATTTTACAAGTAATATTTGTATAGATAACTTTGCTGTTACTTTAAGATATCCTAGAAATTTATTGGAGGGTACCCGGAATGATGTGATAATCTTCTTGTAGAATTTAATAACCTATTTTAGTATTTTTAAGCGGCCATTTTGAATTGACCTTTTGAAGGTCAAGGTCAATTTTATTTTCTTGGTATCCGCCCACATCGTCTTCAGCATACCCATATTAGGTTAAAACACTCAAGATATTACTTGTACTATAAAATGCCTCTATAGCATTCATTTTTTCTTAAAATCTGTCCTGTCTATTTGATTTTATCGAAAATGAGTAAACTTAATCTCTAACGAGGCAGCAGCTGAAGTTTCCATACTCTGCGAAAGAAACGTAGAGCATTCATTGCAAATTGTCTAAAATGTTTACTTTACGATGGTTAGTTTTGTTTGGTTTAACGGCGCACCGACACAATTTAGGTCACAGGACAGATGGTTTTGGCTATCCTCGGCGATACAAACTTAAGGTCAAAACCACTTCACCTGCTGGAGCTATGAGAGGCATAGACTCCAGTAATCCTAACCCTTTTAGTCGCCTTTTACGATCACTCAGGATTAAAGGATGTCTGCAATTTTGATGCCTCAACCCTTCAAGGCAACCCCTTAGCCACAAGGGGACTATATTTAGTATGCACTTATAGTTTGATAATTCAGTGTAGTATAAAGTTCAATTGTCTAAAAAGTTTTACTTTTTATAATATTTAGTATGCACTTTTACTTAGATAATACAATCATGATCATGTACATTGTTAACGCAAACTATGATTGCATAGAAAATGGTTGAATAAAGAATAATCCTATACAGCTTTGGTCTGGAGCATTTCTCTAACGATCTGTATCAGGTTGCCTAACTTGCAACTTATTTAGACTGTAAACATTTATTACATACATTAAAACTTATACCTGGGTGAGGAAGATAGAACCATTCCGAATTAGTTATTATGTCTGCACGAGCGTCTGTTCGAGCTTTGTATTGTATGTTAGTTTTATCGGTTGGAAATGCTCCAGCTGCCGTCATGATGCCGCATACAGCCCATCCAATTATTATTGAAATCAGAATCTAGATAAAAGTAAAACAGCACCATGTATAGCACCGAGTGCTAAATCATTCAAAAATAATATAAGTTAAAATTATTAATGTTGAATAATGTAACGATTAAGTTATTGTCCATATCTTTTTATGTCGCACCAACACAGTATAATTATAAAGGTCATATGGCGACTTTCCAGATGTATTGGCGAAGAACCACTGGCGTTATGTAAGCCTTCCGGATATATCGCATGAAACAATGCAAAGTTCCTGGCGGTATTAGAACCCATTGCGTTTGAAATAATGCATAAAGTGCCACCTGAGGTGTTCCCCCTCTATAGTAAATCTAAAACTCGCTATTGCAGAACCATTGTAGGTTTGCAGTAAGGGAAACTTGAAATACAAACAAAATAACCCCCCTCCACCTAAAAAAAAATGAAGAAAAAAAGAGAAAAAAATAAATAAATAAAATGTAAAATAAATAATGCAGTACAAGAACAATAAAATCAACGACATACAGCAAATACTTGATGAAGGGGATATCGTATAGTATGAAATCCTTTCTTTCTAGTCCAAGCCGGGATAATCATTGGTTTGTGCCCTAGATACATTGAAAGAACCACGCCTATCCCCCAAGTCCTAGAATATAGAAACCACATATTTTATTCAAGTAAGCATAAACTTTGTTTAAGGCATTTGCAAAAGGTATTATTATCACGTTGCCTATTTTCTTCTTGAATTTGTTTTGGCAATCAAACCATGAAAATTATTATGTTTATGTCAAAGAAATCCGCTTTCAAATGGTTAAACTAAAGATACTTGATATATCAACATTCTATGGTGGCTGATTACCGCCATGTCATATTTTCGCCTGGCGCCCCGGGGGGCGAAAATACGACAAAATATTGACTTTGTCGTTTTTGCATATTTTCGCCTGGCGCCCTGCTAAGCGAAAATACAACATAGCACAAACAACCACAATAACATTCAAATATGAACTGAAAACATGTGTCACTCACATAAAAGAAATTCCCCAATGGACCTGTGTATACTCCATCGCCGGTTTTACGATATATAAACCTATGAGGAGAATAGTCGGCACAATTGTTATCGGGCCTACAAAGCGAAGTAACAAGCCAACAAGCCCCGTAGCACCAATCAGAAAATGTAGAAATCCTGCAAGGATGAGTGGTCCCATCATCTATATGTATAGAAATATGGATATAAAATTGATATGTTAGTATACATATGTATCAACAGTCAACGATTCGAAATTAAAGCGAGATTTTTTATTTTATTTTTTTTTTTTTGGGGGGGGGGGGTGGTATAAATAGAAGTGATATATTTACTTAATGGACTGATATTCTGTTTGATGTATTTTTCAAAGTAGCATTCCTTAGAAATGGATTCAAAGTCACAAACATAAGTTACCTCTCTGACACGTATATCAATTAATTGTTCTTGGAGATCCGCTTCGGTGATATTGTTTGATGTTGAATTCAGAACTCCTGGAACTTAACAAAACCAAATGTCACATTAACAGATAGTCAGTCCTGAATATGCGCCCTTTAAAATTACGCCTTAAAGGGACTCATCTGAGGTCTTTTGACATGACGGGACTGGAAATAATTTCCCAAGATTTGTGTTCCATTTGATATAGATCTGAACTAATAACATTAAGTGTAAATTCTCAGATCATTTCCGCGCCCCGTTTTTCCAGAATAATATTTTTATCCTGTAAAATGACCCAAAAATGAAAAGCGTTGCAACGATTTTCACTCAAATCCGGCTAAAATGCACTAAGAATCGATTTTGATTTAATTCTGACGACGATATTTCTTTACTATCCTTTGCAGATTTTTTAATTTAAAGTGATTCACTTTATCTATGTAATTTTTTTTTTTTAAACTTTTAGACCTCAATGGAGTCCCTTCAATATAAAAAAATTACTGAATATCCTCTGTTTAGCTGATTAAGTAAAATGAGTCAAACGGAGTAACTATGGCTTGTTGGTACTTACTTATTCCCCACAGGCGAATTTTTATCAGATAATACATGTACTGACATCCGTCCGTCCGCGCCGTCCGTCCGTTTGTCCGTGCCACATTATTTGTCCAGACCGTAACTCAAATTGTATTTGAGATATCAACTGGAACTTCATAGTTAAACAGATCTCATTAAGGAAATTGTACAAGAATGGTAACTTTACCATTGATGATAATTAGTTATTGCCCTTTAGTAGGTATCTATTTTTAACTTTTATAACATGGATATAAACATGAAGTGCCACAGCTGAATATGTCTAACTGAGGAGGAGTGCAATTCACATAAAATGATAACTTACCCATCATAATGTTTAAGTTATTGCATTTGGTATTTTTCATTTTTGGGCTGGCGATTTTAAGCCTGATCATATCAACCACAATTGAGCAGTCTACTCTGTTTTTCGTTACCAAAACCACCTTCCGGAAATCTAAGATCATCCGTTTCAGAATACGCATTTGCAAATAAATTTAAATTTTAAACTTACACATTGCATTTACGTCACACCTGCTCGCGTCCATCTTATTTAAAGCTATAATTGGTACAGCATATGAACCAGATGGTCCTTGATATACAGGTAGCCGGATTCCAAACATGACCTGTAGGAATGTTGTTACACCAGACAGCATGAATGTTGAACTAACGAGTTTTCTTATAAACACCCCGTCTTCAAGTGCACATGCGGCTTCCGCAACCAAAAGTGGGAGAACGATGGACCCAACAATAGAGATAAGACTTTGCTGTAATAGACAAGAAGTTGTTTAGCTAATAACAGATTTCTAGTGGAACCAAATGAGCAAGCATCTCAGTGATGAGAGGTACAAGAAAATAAAATGTTTTAGCTCATTATAAAGCTGTGTGCCTCCAGATAAGCAAAAAAAATTCAAGAAAATCAATTATGACAAAATGTACTACTATTTAAATATTTAAAGTATAAATATTCACATTTCAAGTTATGATTTACATTGCATATGCAATGAATGACTGATTTTGCAGTATTTATAACAATATTTCTACTGCGTGACTAACGCAGTAAGGGCTATTTTAGTATATTTTGACCTTTATCTAGTACTTTTTGTAAATTATTTTCTTTGTTCACTTCATAATGTTTTTTTTAAAATACGTTTTCAAAATTTTCACGAAAATTAACATGAATATGGAGGCGTGCGTCTTTAAGGCAAGTAAAACAATCAGTGACTAATTATAAAATAACAATTAAAGCTGCACACCTCCAGATGAGCAAAAATACTTCGATAAAATCAAACCTGAGAAAAATGTACTAAGATTTTAGGAAAAGTATAAAGATTATAATTATATTCTAGTAATAATTAACATGTTATGTGCAATTAATGACTGATTTTTCAATATTCAATAACTGTATTTCTACTGCGTTACTAACGCACTAACTGCCTTTTTTGCATATTTTGACCTGTTTATGATAATTTTCATAGGTTGTAAGTGCCATTGATAATGTGTAAATTGCATTCTTTTGGTTACTTCAAAATATTATACTGTTAAATACATTTTCAAATTTTCATGAAAATTAGCATGAATCTGGAGGCATGCTGCTTTAAGGTCTTTTTGAAGTGCCTGAAGCACAAATCACCACAACGATCAAAACTGGATAGATAGTACTTTTCTGTGAATTAGCATTCGCAGAAAAGTAATAAGATGCATTTAAAGCTTAAGTCCGCTCAACGAGGAATTCAATAAAGTCCGAGAGCTTCTGCAGAAGTCAATGCATTAGCGTTTTTCTTACAAAAAAATAAGTTAAGTCCGGTAAGTTCACGTTCCGTCAGTTATCTTTCCTATACAGAGACCCATTTTGTAATGCTTTTTTATTTTATCATGACATTCATAGACCGTGATCGTCATGCTGCACTCTGTCATTTTGCATAGCGCCCTGGAGCACACATATTAAACAATTTTGTTAATTGCCCGAAGCGCTCACCAGAAGACAGAATGGTACCATGTAAACTGCAGGAAGGTAATATCAAGTTTGACCATGCCTTGTGAAGTTTCAAAGTTAATAGGATCTATTGTTCTGTTAATAATGTTCACAATGTCTATTCATATATCACAAATGCAACAGCAGAGTGGCCACACCTGACCGACCTTAATCTTAGGACTATAGTCCATAACGTCTCTTGATAGGAGTGGGGCAAGCCTTTACAAGGTGAAGACCACTGTGACCCTGACCAAAATAAGTAGGTATATTCTAGTAGACATGATTAACATTCACAGTTCCACAAAAACTATTAGGACTGTATACCATTGAAGTTTCAGAAAAGAAGATATTTTAAGTTTTTTCTATGTACAGTAATGAAAAACTCATGCCCCCAGGGAAGGGTTACAGAGAAGAGGGTCTTTGAATGTTTTACTACATACGTACAGACATCACAAAACTTAAGGTAAACCATGACCCCTAAAATGGCCAATATTCACCCAAAACAATTTTGGTAGAAGTGAACTAGAATATGCTTTATAAGCTCTGGCCCTTGACATTTCAAGAAGATTATAAAGTTTATATAATACACACATAAAGAAAACCCATGACCTCCTGGGCGAGACCAATTTTGATCGAGGAACAAAAATAGGAAAAATCTTGTTATAAATCTACAAGACAATGTTTCAAGCTAAATGTGCAAGCTAGATAATGTTGAACAATTATCAGTGCATTTTACTTTCAGATATGAAGAGTTAAAAAAATATCTCTATACATTGTATTTTAAGACCCCGTTTATGACACTTTGTCCTACTTATGCAACGGACTGTCACAATTTGAACAGCTTTAGTAGACCAGCCAATGATCATTTCTGTAGTTTGGTTAATATCTAGTTTTTGGTTTCATAGGAGATGTTGTTGAAAGAAATTATTGACGACGGATGACGCTCGAATAGGAACGACAGACACAGAATGATCACATTAGTTCACCATGTGCACGTTGTGCTCAGTTGAGCTAAAAACGTGCGATATCGGCGATATGCTAATGCATGTTTACATGGTTACAAGCTTCATGGTGACTTTTAAAAACTGTTCACTGGTCCGAACTGAAATAAATGTTCAATGATGGAACCGGAATTTATGAAGAATCGAATGTAACAAGTATTCAAAAAATGTACCTGAAACGCGAAGAAAAGTGTCAAATATATTGGTGGTGAATCATTAATCTTGTACAGTATAGGACATTCCTCTTCAAACTCAACTTCAGTGTTGTTATCACCATTCTCATCTTCAAATGGACTCTCGGAAATGGAACTGGTTACTGACTACAAATAATACAAGAGTTGTTAATAGGACAAAATGCTGGACCTTGGACAGTGACCTCCTATAATTAAGGTATGTTATATTTCTTACTTTTATGTAAATATTACAAACTTAACAATTAACGCAAATAAAGGCATATGTCGTGCCTTGAGGGTGTGTTAAAAAATGAGAGGTTACCTGTGATACAAAAATTCAAATGAAGAGAGGTAGCCCGTGCCGCTGCAAAACCGAAATTAGGATGTTTTTATGAATTTTACAATTATTTTTGACAATATACTGCCATTTGTCCGAAGATGATATGTAATGAACATATTAAATATGTATGATGCAAATATAATCAATCCACAGTTTCATTGCAGCCCGAAAAATATGTCGAGTTGATGGGCGAGGCAAGACATCTCGATTTTTTGTAGCTTATTGTGAAGTTGCAGTACATGAAAAACGGACACATGACAAATCAGCACATAAATAAAACATTCTAGTGTTCCGTGGTATACATCTTTTCTACGTGTCATACCCAATTTCCTTATTTTTACTGAAGTTTTACTGGATTGTTATCCATCGCTGAGTTGTTTTTAGCAGAGAATGACCTGTGCATGTGCAAAGAGGGTACCGTTTGAGCAGATTTCGCAAAGAGGGTACCGATATGGATATGCACCGTGTGAATAGTAGCTCAAAAATTACTACATGTAAGTGTATACAAATTCTTCACCTATATTAATGATGGGGTCAAACCGCAAACAAACAAATGCTATTTAATGGCATTATAATTATCTGTAGTTATTACAATGAGTGGCAAAGCATCAATCAAGTAATAATTTTGTATGCATCAGCTGATATATGTCAAATGACTATTTACGCTTAGGGGCTTATTAATGTTGTACAAATACATTTGAGGATGATGTTTAAGATAGCTCAAAAAGCCTATTAACGATAGGATACTTCTCTAAATTAGCATGCATAAGACGGTGCTAGGGGCGAAGATGGTAGCATTTATCACATGCATTTTCATGATTAAGTTCAATCGAATTCTGAATCACTTTTATTTCTATCGTATTTGGCCATCTATAGTGTACTTTTTTTCTATCAAATATCTCACTATGATTCAATAAAAAATTAACCGTTTGATGATCTTGTATTACGAATAACTCGTAGTTAAAATGTTTTGCTACTTTTGTATTAATATTTTGATGATACACCGTTATAAATGTGTATAAAAAGAGCAATGACATTTATCTAAATCAGTTAAACTTAATTCTCAATTACTTTGTTTTCCTTTCAATCGATGATTACAATTTTCAAATTCCAAGATTCCTTTGTGAACTGGTGTCAACTAAATTAGAAAATGTGCTTACTAAAGGAGAAGCCCAGCCTTGTAAAGAAGCTAAAGAATACCGCCGGTATCTGGCAGCAACTCCACTTCCAATCGCCGTAGAATTTCTCTTTCCTGGGTTGTGACCATTACCGATATTATTGCCAGTCTCTGTTAAAGTTTTTACATCAATACTCGTTGCGTGTGAATTCCGGTCACTTTGCAAGCTCCGCTTACGTTCTTTATCTGGCCCTTGCATTATTGTTTTCACTGTTTTTATGTGTCCTAAATAGAAATAAATATGTCTATTGGAATTTTTGCCTCACGTCCATTGATAACTTCTTTCGTATTTTTAATTTCTCTGTTGCCTATGATTTGCAGAATTCAAAAGAAAGTATGAACAAGTTCTAGGGCATGCTAAATAATTTGATTCTTTACAGCGTAGATTGTTCTGAATTTTAGACAAAAGTAACATAAGCAGTTATGAATATTATTAGTATTAACAAAGTTCTTAATCTAGGTACAGTGGACATTGTATTAAGAGGCCACTCAAGGGACTGCCAAAAAGTGGTCTCTTAATAAAGTGGTCTCTCAATAGAATTCTGGAAAATTCGAGACTTTTTATTACAAGTCATAGATATAATAACATCTTTTTTTATAAAAACAAAAACTATACAATATTATGTATGTATTACCGTTTTATAATTACATTTATGCCTTTAAAAAAAAAAAGTCATCAATATTGTTTGTTTTTGATTTTTAAACGAAATGTGTGTACAAAATTAATGTGTTTTACGCTCATAATACTGTCAACAGGTCATTTTGACCATGATACAAAGCATATTGTCTTATATTTTTAATATGTTCATACACATCTCCTGCTGAACATACTTTAGAATCATCAGCCAGAGCTCCAGATAATTATTTATGCAATGAGTTTTAATAAACTTCTTGATTTTTTCAACAATTAGTTTTCACACTACCCCGATTTCAAATTCAAAAAGATTTTTAGAGATCTAGGATTTTTTTTTTGCCTTTTTTTGTCGAAGGGTCATATTTAATGGGATACTAGATGTATTTTGTAAAGCATCAGATGAGCACCTACACCATCAGCAATGAAAGGCTCGGCTCTGTAATGTTTAGTCTACTAGGTTTCACGATTTTATTTCAACTACAATCGATGACATTTGCTATTTACTCAGACTCAATTCCATGCACGATTTCCTCATACAATTTATCCGGTCTTATTAGTTGTCTGTCTTTTTTCGCTCGATCCGACATCATTTTCGATAAGGGAGGTCACTCTCAGCACATGACAAAACTATGCAAACGCGGTGTTGTGATACGTTATTGCTCTGACAAAATATGTCACAATAAATAGTGCGATCGGAAAATCCGATTTTGAAACGATTGCAATTGTTATTCATTTCGTTTTTAAACGACAATTATTTGTGACCAATGACCATGAAAATTATTTGTTTGTTTGCTTGTACACATCTAACCTACTCGCTAATTACACATGGGTGAATGCCCGCAGGGACGATTGTTTGTCACGGCCGTTTAATAGATACTTTAACACTTAATTTTGTACATTTGGGCCGACATTCAGTGGCCGCTGGCCGCGATATAAAATAGTCGTTTAATGGAATTAAATTAAATAGTAAAAATCATCGGGAGGGATTTTATGCGGCCGCTTAATAAAAAAGTCGCTTAATAAAGGTGGCCGCAAGTACGATGCCGACTGTATACGTATTCGGGTCATGACATCATATTGTTTGGTCACGTTAATAACCGTGTTATCATATGACTTGAGATTTTGTTAAAGATATTCTATGCTCATCCTTGAGTAAAATTTATCACAGACATTCATTGAAATCTATAAACTTTTTACTGAATACGTCTTATTTGAATAAAGAATAAATAAACTATGTATGGAAAGCTGCGTTCGCTATTACTGGTATTTAAGTGAAGTTGATCTTTTCAATAAAAAAAAAATGCCAGTTATTTTTAATGACAAGATATACATGTGTATTCATATTGAGACCACCTATAATGTGGTGGATTTTAAACATAACATATCTACTTTGTTTGAAGTTAAAACATGATAATCTTATATTTGCAAAAAGACTGTATAGCAATTATCAATATTTTCTAATGTTAAATTTGAGCATAGAATATCTTTAAGCAGACAGTAGTATATGCAATATTTCTCATAAATGAACGTCTCCACCAGAATCATTATCAAGACCATGTGTCCAAATTGAAAATTTCATGCAAAGATACCAATTTTCCTCTTTTTGTTATCAACTCCTCAGTAAAGTTGGTCAAGCTAAATCTTAGCTTACTGTGAATGCAGATTTTAAACATATAAAGTAAATAATATGACATATTAGGATCAAAGAGAAAAAAATACGAATTGATAAAATATAAACTGTTTTATGAACATTTGATAAAGATTTGTCATTTACGATAGAAATGCGTATTACCTCTCCTTTCAAAATCTAAATCCGAAAATGATTGTAGTTTGGTCAATAGCAAACATTTACTGTACTTTCCGTACTTGTTTGTTTTCACGGTGTCTGCATTTGTGACGGGCCATCTTATTAATGCTCATCCACACAACAATTAACATTTAGTGTACCAAAGCGCCACTGAATCCAGCTTTCGTAACATGAACCTTTTAAATGAATTACAATAACACTTCTGTGACCTTTTGCTCCAATAATGGGTCATAGGAAGAATGATTCAATTTAATAATCAAGTACACTGTTATTATATTATAAAGAAATGACACATGGGCAATTCGTCTGAGAGACAATTTTAATTTCTTTTCAAAATAATACAATTTAAAAACTATTATATAGAATAGAATATTAGATTCTGATAATTATGTTGTTTCTTTTCTTCTTGGACAAATAGGTTTGCTCTAATCAAAAGGCAAGCTACCGTCCATGCCCCTCTAGCACCAGCTTTAGCAGGAATCAACATTTAAACAAAAAAAAACCGACTTTCATTTTAACATATGCCTAGTTTTCTGTCAGGATATACAAGGTTTGTCATTATTTATAAAGTAGTAAAAAAACCGGATTCCCTAAAGAGCGCCAAATTTAACGACAACCGGATCGGTTTGAAAAAAGCCTGTTCATGGATTGTTTTTGGACAATGCAAGTTACCGTCCACGTCTTTAGCACCGTCTTAAGCAGTATTCCACATTTAAACATGAAAATAGTGAATTTTTGAATTTAGAAACATCCGCAGATGTGTTCATATATATACAGGACCCATAAAGAAATACTGTTTTTGTATTGTGTAAGGTGTTCTCGGTAGCTACGAAAATGTTTCTTTTAAAACATGCCTGATTTTCTTATTCTTTCAGGGTAATGTTAATCATTACATGGTCCTTTTTAAAGTGTTATCTTGATTCAACTACTTATTCAATGATTTTCGTTGTAATATAGCAATGTTTGGATATTTGGTGAAAAATGCATTTAAACTTTGGGCAAAAAAATGGCAATAACATATATTTGGTAAGGACGCAACGTTAAGCTTATAAAATTTTCAAGATCGCATCACCTGTATAAAGTGTGAAGGGGGGAATCAAGATCAATCAAGAATACAATGATGAAGAGAAATGCTGAATAGCATGTAAACCTGTTTTTTATATAATACAATTGCATAACGCGCGGTTTCAAAACTACACGACATAAGCAAAATGTATCGCTGTTAAGATGCTGCACAGCACGTATTTGATGTAAACAAATCTATGTATATAAATAATACATAACTTGACAACCGGTTGCAAAACTACACGACATGAACTAAATGTATCGCCGTTTAGGACAAATGAAAATCATATTGTGCTTATTAATAACAAAGGTATACAAAAAGATGAATTTAAAAATGCTTCAAAAAGTACCCCAAACTAACACTTATTTGTTATCTAATGACATTCAAGACAGATGAGACAGGGGTAACTCAAGCCTACCATCTCCTGGCTAGAGCTTGATATCACTCTAGTCGGCGCACCATAGGAGGGCGTAGTGGGAAGCGCCGTAACGCCCAATGAATATGGCACCCACCTGAGGAAGGCGATGGTAGCAGCAGTGGATGCTGTATCTTGTAACCAAATGAACATTTTAAGTACTAGCATTTTAGCGATCTAGATGAAGATAATACTGCTTAATATGATGAAATATTTGAACATAATGTAGATTAGTCACATTGTGAGTTTTCACACGATGAAGTGATTGAAGATATATCTTCTTTGAAACGTCAGAAAAGTACTAGTGAGGATATGTTTATTTTTGAAATATATTTAAACTCGAAACATATTTTAGCACCTATATTATGTAAATTGTTTAACTATAAGCATCGTGAAAGTGTATACCCAGGCTTATGGACCAAAGGCGTATTGGTTCCTGTATCTTAAAAGATATTCCAATAACAGGTATATATTTTTTTCGCAAAGTTTGATGAAAAGAATCATGCATCATGAAAACGAGAAACTATATCGTGCATTTGTAGATTTTAGAAAGGCATTTCACCTCGTGTACAGAAATGGGATCTGTTTCAAATTGTTGAATAGATTAATTCAAAATAGGTAAAATCATTGCATCAAATAGCTTAATCTTTTCTGATACAACAGCAAATAAATTAATATGTTGAAAGCAATTCATCGATCAATTAAAACTTGTGTAAGATAGAATGGTAATAATTATGTAAGATCATTTTAAAAGTTATAAGGTTGTAGACAAGAGGAAACATTATCTCCACTTCTTTTATAATGTTAAATGATATGGAAACTTACATTTAAAATAACAATGCTGATCTTGTAAAAATAGATCAAATTATATTTTATGTTGCATTTTGCAGACGACACAGTGTTACTGTCGCTAGTCGGCTGTCGTTCCATAATGAATTGCATAGGTATGTAAGCAACAAACATCTAATGTTACTGTTTATGGTGAAGTTTGAAGGGTTTCCTTAATACTTTGAGATAGGAAGCATTATAAATACTTTTATAAAATTGTTAATGTCCTTGGGGCAGTTAAACAATGCCAGAGGTTCTTGGGAAGTCGGAGTTAAAGCATTATTAGAAACAATAGGATTTGCATGTGTATGAAAGGAAATTTCATTTGGAACTTAATACTGATATTAAAACATTGTACTGTCAATATTATCAAATATATGTTGATATGTAACAATGTCCAAATAGTGTACTTACAAAATATTTTTAAAAAATGTATAGCATTTGAAAAACAAATTATCATGTGTAAAATTATTCTAATCGTATAGCTCTCACTAGACTGTGATGTTTGTCACATATTGTGGTATGAAAATTATCATATTTCACTGGTGGCTACCACAACTCTTGAAATATTCATTTTCATACCACTCGATGAAAATAAATCCTGTATTTATCGAAAAAAAATCAATATCCTCTATGTATTTTATTAACGAGAATGCTATAGCATACATGTATATAATAATTTACAAGTCAAATTAATTCAATTAAGTTATTCAAACAATGTCTTCAACCTCTGTGGCATTCTCAGCCGCGCTGGCGCTGGCGGATTCCTCTCTAGTACCAGACCAGTACCGCAATAGGTGATTACCATGGAGAAATGAATGGCGAGAATTTCACAAAGTGGTTTAATCAAAAGCTAATCCCCAATCTTCCAGCACACAGTGTGGTGGTGATAGACAACGCACCTTATCAGACCATTTGGGATGACAAGTTTCTTACGAAATCAAGTACAAAAAGTGTGATAACGTCCTTGTTACAGCGCCATAACACACACCAAACATGCTCAGGACGTGTGTGCTTGCAATAAAATAGATGAGTTTCGTTGCAAGCTAGTGTGTTATGCGAAGCACAAAATCTCAATTGAATTGTATTAACATGAGATGTGTAATTTATATGAATAACACAAACACGAAGTACCCGTGCATTGGAAAAAATGTGTATTTGAAAGAAATTGAACTGCTGGGAGGTGAACCAAGACCAGTATGGCTGTAATTTTAGCGCGCTACCACTACACTACATGAACATGATCAAATAAATATTACTATACTATACATACACACATGACTTACCTTTTCTGAAGTGCACTGATCCATGTTATATTCCAAACGGTTCCGAAATAATTATATTTTTAGAACTAGAACAAATATTTGTAAAGTTTAACGTGTGTTTCATCTTTGTATGAATCACTTGTTTTTAAATGATAACTTTTCTTTCACATGCAACATATTTCCCTATCTAATTGTACATACATGTTGTATAATTAAAAGCTCTTTCTCATTGTATAAATGTCACCGCTTACGTATTACAATTGTTGGTGAGGAACATTAAATTGAATATTATGCGTTAAATGACATCATACTTAAAAAGAAATCAACCGCAGTTATAACGCCAACACCGTTTTTTGCGCGGCGTTACAATGCCCTAAAGGCTTTTTAAAATACAAATCTACAAAATATAGCGTTTACAGCATTCGCAATTTTTGCGGGAGATTATGGGACCAATTTTTTTCTCGAATGACCAGCACATTATATAATATGCACACAGGGACGCATAGTATGCTAGTTATTAAACTTTTCTCATGCATTAACATCGGTCAGCAGCAGGACCGAAGGAGTTTTATAAGTTCGAGGACCCAGGGCTATGTTATTAAATAAATTAAGAGTTTTAAAAGCCTAATAAGAAGCAAATTAAAACCTTCTTTGACTGTATAAATTCCCTATTGAATAGAATAAAAAACTTATTAGATTAAATGTTTTCTAATTGCTATTGATAAAGAGGCTTATTTTCACAAGATGTCTTGATATGGTTCATACAATTAAGTAATGGGAACCAAACGGGATATTCAGTTTTCTATGGTAGCTGATTTCTGCAATTTCCGTGTTTCGTGTCTTCGCCCCGAAAGTCGAAAGGCGAAGACACGAAAACATACCTATTTGTCGTAATTTTTTCGACTTTCGTCCTTTCGGGGCGAAGACACGAAAACAACGAAACATTCTAGGCGAAATAACGAAACCATTAACACGCGAAGGGACAAACATTTCATTGTTTAAGTTTTTCGTGTCGGCGGGGCAAAATCTTTCGTGTTCCGCGCCCTTTGATTGTCTTGTCTTCGCCTCGAAACGCGAAGGTCGAAATAAAACGAAAATACGGCAGATTTTCGTGTTGTCGTGATTTCGCCCCGAAACGCGAAAGTCGAAAGTAACGACAATGACATTGTTTCGGGTTTCGCCTTCCGGTAGGCATGCGCAGAACGAGTACACATATGCCAAAATTGTTTCAAGATTGACGACATTTTGCATGAAATATGTGCACAAGTACACATATGCTACATATATTATAGAAGAAAATGGAGAGTAATAGCAATGATAGTATCCTCAAATATTTTGCTTTTGCTTGTTTTTGTTGTTTTGTTTTAATATGGACTTTAGATTATGTTTATCTATTTAATTTAACTTATTAGCCTTGTATCATGCAAACTGTATATTTATTAGCAAGCTGATTTGTTGATAAATTTCGAGAATGTTGATTTTGAAAGGTAAGTTTAAGCATTGTTTCAACACACTTATCTCCAGTTTATTGACAGTTTATAAGAACACAAAAATTCTACACACCACTCTTCAAAGTTCGTTTGGTTTAAAGTTAATGTATTTTATTTTTATCAATTATTTTTAAGAAAATATGACGATTTTGATATTTGAATTTTTATTTCTAATAAGCATAACGGAGATAGGATTTTAAAGTAATACTTTGACTTGCTAATAATCGTTCATAACAAAGTAAAAATGTGAATATAATTGTGATGTTACCATACCTTATAACTATGTTGTAGCGCTCCCGGAGAATAGTTACTATTTCGGGGTAGGTGTACCCCGAAAAAAAATCCCTAATAATATTTTCCGCTAGGATACGTTAAATAAAATAAACAAACGAACAAGATAAAAATAAAACTATAGACATATAACAATAACATATAATTATTTTCAGTAGTTTTCAGTTTGTCAAGCGGAAGATCTTCAGACCAAACAAATAATGGTCGCGAAATTTCAGACCCTGATGTGGTAATTTGCAATTACCGAAGCGGTTACTTCCCTTTATATGTACACTTACGTCGAAAAATTAAGGGGAGATCACTGCGTAACGATTGTCAAATGACAGGCGCTTTAATTTTCTTAAGGCAAAAATAGTTTTCGATTGGTCGAAGATTCTAATATTGTGTTATTCGTATAGATATACATGCTTTTAAGCTCTATTATTATTTACATCAGTGTTAAACAACAGGTTTTACCGTGAACAAATTATATCGAAATTAATTACAAACCCTAATATAGAATAATATGGTTTTTTTTTCAGGCTGTTATCTTACAACTTGCCCGTGGTCGAGGGGTTTACACGCTCGCTTTGGAAGCGAGAGGTCTTGAGTTAAAATGCCAGTTAAGGCGACTCATCTCATGATATTTTTGTTTTGTTTTTTAATTAATTGTTTAAAACAAATAAACATTGAATTGAATATCAGAGTTGAAATTAGTCTTTTAGCCAATTTATTATAGTTATAACACTGGACACAGCATTGGTGACACTATACAAACAAATTGGTTTATAATCTCACAACCTTCACCTTTCTGACATTCTGAGACCCAAACAAATTCAGCGCCTTCTGTGCTTTGATTATTTATAGAGACAGCGTTCGGGTCTTCACACTTACTCAAACAAAATATCGTCTAAAAATCGATCATACCCATATACAACAGTCCAATCTCACATCAAATGTAAAGAATTCTTAATTGATAAAAATAAAATACATTAACTTTAAACCAAA